TAAAAACTAAACATCCTACAGTATTTTTACAGTCTTTATTTTACAGTTAAAATAAATGTTTATCAAATAAAGTCTAATGTTACAAATGATTGTGGATCCCTTTAAGACATTAAAGAGGCAGATATAAGATTTTTTTTCGTCTTTTGCTGCCTTTCATTTTATTTTATTTGTATTGTGTTGTGTGAAATGCGTTGTAAACTTGTTTTTTTGGTGAAATGAATAAATAAATGAATTGAATTAACATTAATACATCTTTGAAGCTCTCGTGGGCCACATAAAACACTGTGGCGGGTCACATTTGGCCCTCGGGCCTTGAGTTTGACATGTAATAAAAGATCAAAATGTTTTTCCTGTCAGACGCCTGCTGACTCAGTGATTAGAATAACTCTTTAGATGAGCTTCAGGGTGTTTTGCACCATCATTGTGAGGATGAGCAGATAATCCTGATGACTTGACAGGCGCACGTCTCTGCTGCCATCTTTGAGGTTGTTTTCTGTTTTCTCCTCTCGCTCGCTTCCTGCTGCAGATCATTTTCCACAAGGACAACCCGGGCATCGATTATGAGTTCTACATCCCGGTGGAGAAGAAGGAGGGCGAGAGGGAGGGCCTGCCGGAGAGGGAGGCACCGAGGGCACCTCTGCGCAGTGAGATCCTTTAACCTGTTTGAGCTGAATCTGAGGTTTGAGCTGTAGACGCAGCAGAAGAGTCATTCTTTCCACCTTACTTAAGACGCTGTAATGATTGGAGTATTTTTGGATTAAACTGGGTGTGGCTCCAGGGTTAAAGTGGGAGGGACTCTGTGTGCGTTTGTTTGCCCCTGACCCAGCTGGGAGGCTATCGGCTCGTCATGTCTGCTGTCATGAGACCCTGACCTCATCATGATGTCATTAGCCTCTGACTCACCGCCTTCTTCTTAGCTCCCATTTTTCAGCTTGTTGTTTCCCCTCCCTCTCTATCGCTCACATTTTCCCCCTCCTCCTCGTGTCTATTTTTCTGCTTCTCCTCCACCTTTCCTGGCATTTCTAATTTATCTTTATGTCCATTTGTTTATTTTGTTCATCTCCCCGCCCTCCCAGGTCCCCTCACTGTGTCTGTAGAGGAGTCTCCTCCTATTTCAGTCCCTTCTTTCCCCTCCTCCTCTTCAAACTCGGTGTTTTCTCCACCGTCGTTTGACCGCTGGCCACCTGAGAGGACCCGCCCTCGAGGATTGGGGCCCAACAGGAACGCTCGGATCCCCCCTCGGACCGACCTGCCGCCCGACACCCAGCTGCCCTTCGTTTGGAGGAAAGGAGGTCTCACGGAGTGTTCTGCTTCATGTGGAAGAGGTCTGACTCCTCACCGGCCTCGTGGACCTTCAGCTGTTCTCTGAAACCTACCGTCTCCCTCCTCAGGCTGTTTCATGGAAGCTCAGGGAGATTCAACGTGTTTTGTTCTTCTCCGTGCAGGCTCTCAGCACAGAGAGGTTTTCTGTGTAAACCGTCACACGGATGAAGAAGTACCAGAGACCAAGTGCGACTCGGCAGCCAAACCTGCTGCTGAGGAGGAGCCTTGTAACACTCAGTCCTGCCCGCCATTGTGAGCAAACTAACCCTCCGAATAATGAGTCAGGGTTCCTGCAGAGCCTGAAAAAAGTCTTAAAAATCATTGAATTCATCAATCCAAAAATAAGGCCTTAATTAGCCTTAAAATGTCTTAAAATGTTAACACATTATAAACAGGATGACTCATCTCAAATAATAAAATAATTGGTAACATTTATTTTTTATATTTACATGCAAATATTCCTCTTTGACATCACTTCCTGTTATTTCACATGTAAATATCTCAACAACTGTTCATCTGAGCACAGTGAAATTTGTTTTGTAAAATGTTAAAGGGGCAATATCATGTAAAATGAACTTTTTTTGAGTTTATCATGTTATAATGTTATACTCTCATAAAAAAAAAAACATGCCCAAAGCCTTGCTCTGACTCATTCATGCATGTTTGAGAAATCCTGCAGTGTTTTTATGAAGCCATGCTGAGGAGCAAAACGACAGGTGGGGACCAGAAACGCCCCTTTAAGCTGAGCTTCCTCATGACAGAGCGCCCCCCTCCCTCCCCTTACACCCCGCCCATGACTCCTGCAGGCTCTCGGGTGAAACTGAAAGTGAAACTTAAACTGTCTGCTGAACTGCTATCTACTTCTCACTCAGTGAAGCTCTTTTCAGATTCAAAATACCTTTGAGGAAATGTATTTTCAGATGCCAAGTAAACGGCATGATAGCGCGCGCACACAAACACACGTGTGAACACCCCCCCCCCCCCCCCCCCCCCCCCCCGTGCGCGTGCTGAAATGGGTGGGGCAGAAGCAGAAGGTGGTTCTTAAAGAGACAGAGGCCAATTTCAAGGCGTTTAGAAGAGGAAGTGATGAGAAGATAAGTTTATTTTCTATTTAAATATAAAAACAGCATTTGAATAACAACTAAAGGTGACATAGATACTTTATTATGGTATAGTGTTTAAATACAGTATATGCCTGAGAAACACATAATATTGCCCCTTTAATAATGTTGTCTTTCCAAAAATGCATTCATATTTCTAACAAAAAATTGATGTCACAGGCACTTTAAGGTTTCATCTACAGAAAATTGGGGTTAAGACCCCACTGTGGGTCCTAAAACTCAAAAGTTTGTGTCGTTAAACTGACTGCTAAGAATGTTTTTTGCTATATTTAATGAAAAAGCAGTTAGATCTGGATAAAAACAATTGCTGTATTGGCAAAATATTTGAATACTTCAACCAAAAATACTTTGATTCAAGAGTTGTTGCTACAGATTTTTGTAATTTGTGTTTATTATGAAATTGGACTTAAATTTAATTTCACTTGGCATTAAAAAGTCTTTAAAAGTCTTAAATTCAACTTCCTTTAAACTGTGGGAACCCTGATATTATACACGTTAAAAAAAAAGGTTTTCTTGTTCCATTTCTTCTCTTATTTTATGATAATCTTTCATTTGGTGTGCTTACGCACAACAAATGGTTCCTTTTTCTTAAAATGCTTTGGTTTTTAAAGCCGTCCCTGTGTTTCAGCTGGGAGGCCAGCGCCTGGTCGGAGTGCAGCGTTTCTTGTGGGCCAGGAGTTCAGCAGAGGCAGCTCCAGTGCAGGCAGAGCTTTGGAACGCGCTCCACCATGGTCCACCCTCAGCGCTGTGCCCACCTCACCCCACCAGAGTCCACGCAGGCCTGTGAGCTCCGCCTCTGCTCCCACTGGGAGGTCAGCTCCAACTGGAGCACGGTACGTCAGAGAAAACCGGACGGGGGGTTGTCTGAAAGTGTCTGTGACGTGCATAACCTTCAAATACAAAGAAATCAAAGAAGTCATCTTTATATTTAGGAAACTTGGCATAACAATTATATCCATTTCGTATGATAACGGCATGTTTTCTTTTGAACTTGGCTCTGCCGAAGTGAAACAGGAAGTGGCATCAAAAGGGAACTCTTTAAGAAACAAAGTTTATTGAGACATTATTTCAACTTCTTTGTCATCCTCTGATAGTGACTCAAAATAATCAAAAGAAACATCGGATTTGTTGGCCTTTGTAGCAGCTCTCTGTTCAGCTGCAGACATTCCCCTATGACATCACTTCCTGTTACTTCACATGCTAATAGTGTATCTGAACAACTGTTTATCTCAATCCGTGTATGGTTCGTCCTTTGGTTTTTTTGATTCAAAATAAAATAGCAAAAACAAAACACGACGTTTTTTTCATTTTTTCATTTTTAAAACCTAAATGTAAAAATGCTAAATCGAATTAATAGAAAATCAACAGCGTTTGATTTTTGCTTTAGCCATCTAAATAACAATAAAATATGGTTGTTGTTTTAATATGTAGCTCCAAAGAAGGGTAGTTTACAATTATTACAACTATTGTTTAAAATACATGGAAGATTAATAAAACGTAATTGATTTGATGCATCGATTCCCTCTAAATAAGACAAACATATCCATTTTTGAACTGGCAGATTTGGAAGTGCTAACTGAAAAAGTTATGTGCCGGGAGTTCAGGTCTTTATTTCCGGTTCTGCCATAAGGTCCCATTAAAGTAATAAAAAATAAAAGCTTGTCTTTGGTTTAACCACTGCAGTTTAAAAAAGACATACCCCTTTTTTATTTTTGCAATTGCAGTTTTTCTAATTTCGTTTTAAAAACAGAAAAACAAAAAAACACGATTGTTTTGTTTTTGCAATTTTATTTTGAAACAAAAAAAGCAAAGAACGAACCATACATGGATTGATTTATCTCAATGATGTGATTTTTTTTATTTTGCAATGTTATCAGTGTTGTCTTTCCAACAATGCATTCATATTTATTGCAAACAGTGTGTGTCAAAGGCACTTTAATGTCGCTTTTGTTTACCTGTATTCTGAAAAGTCCTCATTAGTTTATTGGAGTTTCAGACTTTTTGTTTCATTTTCTCCTCAGTGCTCCGTTGACTGCGGGATGGGTCGAAGGACGAGGAGCGTCCGCTGCGTCAGCGATGAAGGTGGCGTGGTGAGCGACAACGAGTGCAACTCTAGGCTCCGCCCACAAGGAAGTGAGGAGTGCAACATGGGCCCCTGCGTGACCAACTGGTACTTCACTGACTGGTCCAACACCGTGAGTCTCACACACACACACACACACACACACACACACACACACACACACAC